AATTTTAACACAGAAACCTCACTCTTTCCAGACAGCTCTTTCCAGACAGCACCAAGTCTGGGCATGGCTGTCCACCTGAGGGGACAGTCACCTGAGGCATTAAACTAAAGGCACTACAGCATTTGTCCCCCTGAGGACCTTGGGAAAGTCAGCCTCTGGGCCTCCTTTCTCCATTCCTCTAGCCAGAATTTCCCTGCAGAAATCCACCCAGTGGTCCCCAAATGCCATTCTTCTTGTGAACACAGTGCCAGGGTTACCCTGAGACTCTACATGAATGTCTCCCATGAACCAAGCCAAACTCCCTTATCAGCAGTAGACAAAAGAGAAAATGACAGTGTTGCCTCGCTTCACAAACACTTTTGTTTGTAAACAACTTGGTTCGCAAATAAAATTCTGTCGTTTGCAAATTCTGCATCACCTTTCCGGCAGAAACACAAATGCGGTTATCTTTTCCAGAATCGTGAAATGAATTCAGCCGATGCACTGAAGTGCCACCGCGACAGCACGTCCTGTGTCCTTCCTGCACTGAACATGAAGCTAGCTTAGTGCCCAGGACCTTCCCTGGTGTCCGGGTGCTTCGTGTTCACCACAGATTGCTGGGTACTTCTTTTACCTCTTACCAGATACTGTTCATCTATCAAAACGCTGATTACAGTAATCATCCACCACCAGTCTTATTCTAGTTTTCTCATTTTGTTCATGGGAAGCCATGTCCCAAATACCTTTTTCAAACCAAACACCAATGTTTTGCCGAGTATAATTTGGCATGAATTTCTCAGTCTTAGCAAAAGGACTACCTATCTCCAAATAGTGGAAACGCTGACCCAGAGATGCTACAAGGGACACTAATTCAGCATTAACAGAGCCATGCGGTGAAAACAGAGAATGTGGTCACAATGAATCTCTACATCGTACCAATAAATCTAATCTAGGGGGCCTGCCCTGAGCTCAGTTGTTGAAGTGCCTGCTTAAACAAAGGCAGTGAGGAACAGGATATAGAGGTTCGATCCCCAGCTAGCCCTGCCCTTCAGGCAACCTGAGCCACAAATTAATTAATTAATTAATTAATTCCCAATTAATTAATTTAATCTCAAAAGAAAATGGAATATGCATTAAAACTTCCATCCAAGGCAAGCAGGTGGGGAAATCAACTTCTCCTTTTAAGCTTACCATTCTCAGTCAAGCCTAAAGTCTAAGGCACTTTTTAAAAACATTGACGCCAAATCCTACCCGACGGCAACCTAATTCGGGTCACTGCAGGAGAGATTCGGGCACTGGGGCTCAGTACAAGCCAAGCTCCATGAGGTCCGAATCGGGTGTAGGTGCGAGTCACTCATCTACACCAGGGGTCTGTAAGCTGCTCTGTAAAGGGCCGTGCTGTAAGGGCTGTAGTGTTCCGGACCACTCAGTCTTTTATCAGACTTCAATGTGCTGTTCTAGCCCAAAAGGAGTCTCGGATAGTCCGTAAGTGAATGGGTATAGCTGGATTGCTACGCTGAACACTGAAATTTAGAATGTTAAATAAATTTTACATATCATAAAATATTCTTCTTTTTTAAAAAATCTACAAAAGTAAAGTCTATTCTTAGCTTTTGGGTCATACAAAAGCAGGTAGCAGGCAAATCTGGCTAGCCCAGACTTCAGCAACCCCGGATGGACACTGCAGATTAAACAACTTCTACCTAATCTTCTTGGAACTATTTGGCCACTGACTCCCCACCAGTGCTAGCAACATCCCTTCAAGCCATGGATACCTTCAGATTCGAGCTGTTCCAGGCCATACGGGGTGGCTGTGTGCACAGCACTCCTGAAAGGAGCTTTTCCTTCCAGTGAGGCCTCAGAAGCAGGAGGAGCCAGGGAGGAGCCAGTCACCTCCGTCACCACTCCAACAGGTGTCACCTGAAAGCCCCACGCGGGGTTGGATTCCTCATTCGGCAGTGTGACTGTGTCCACGAAGCCTGCCAAAAAAAGAAAGGAGACTTAACCCACAGACATCTCTGGGTAAAGTGTAGACATGTGCTTCTCGTTTTTAGGTAAGAAATGATGAATAACACCCAGAGCCCACATGCAGTAAGTAAGTGTGGTACTTAGACCAGCCTTCCTTCCTACATCCATAGCACACACGTCAGCAGCCAGGAAAACATGCTACCTCGCATTAGACCCGTGCTTTTTTTTTTTTTTTTTTTTTTTTTTTTTTTTTTTTTTTTTTGTGGAACTAGGGATTGAACTCAGGCCCTTGCGCTTGCCAGGGAAGCGTTTATTCCACTGAGCCATCTCCCCAACCCCAGCCCCAGCCCCATGCTTTTAAACTTCAATCTCCCGTTGGTTCTGCTGACAATGCTACAGTTTTGCATAACATGTTTTATGTAATGTGTATAACACATTACCATAGGTAGAAAATTTAATAAAAAATGTTAAAACATAGCCCAGCAAGACTCTGAAAAGACCAAATACATTTCTCAAAGCCAAGTCAAAGAATAAGACCCTAGAACTATACCTGGAACGTGTTCAAGCTCAACACATCCAACTGTACAACACTAGGGCCAAGACACTTTAAGCCTAAGACTCTCAAACACCAGAAGCTTGAAAACCTGGTTGAGCATCCGAATCAACGGAGGTGATTTTTTACAATGTACACTCTCACCTACATAACTCAGCTATCTAAATTAGAATCTGCTTGGCCTAAGAAAGTGTTTTGTGAAAGCTCCCAGGGTTGGACACAGTGACATACTCCTGTCATTCCTACTACTCCAGAGGTTGAAGCAGGAGGACCACAAATTCAGTCCTAGTCTGGACAACTCAGCAAGACCTGTCTCAAAATGAGAAATAAAAGACCTACAGATGTAGCTCAGTGGTAGAGCATCCTACATTTATTCTTTTTTTTTTTTTTTTTTTTTTTTTTGCAGAACCAGGAATTGAACTCAGGCTCTTGCGCTTGCCAGGGAAGCGCTTATTCCGCTGAGCTATCTCCCTGGCCCCCCTACATTTATTCTTTAAAAAAGAAAAAAAAATTATAGGACATCCTGCTTTTGGTGGGAGTATAAATTATTATATCCACCTTGGAAAAGAGGCATTAACTGCAGAAGTGTCAAATACTCACGCACCCTCGGGCCAGCACTCGGACCCCTTAACAGAGAAGCTCCTGCACACACAGTGGGGACATGCACAGGAATGCTCTCAGCCACCATCATATCCAAAGCCAGAAAGGACTCAAATGCAAAGCGGTGAGACAGTGGATGAGGACTGGACAAACTGATAGGTTTTTCTGGCAGTGCAGTAAAATAGGGAAGATAAAAGAAGCCTTTATTAGCTCCAAAGACACAGACAGGATCGAGGGCAGAGGGGTCAGGTGGATCCTCTGGCCTGAGACAAAGAAAGCTGAGGCTTTTACAGACTTTTGTTAGGGGTGGAGCTTGAGGGGGATGTTCAGAAATATATGAGGAGCTAGTTGGGGTCTTTGCTGTGGCGGCAGGAAAGGTGAAAGGAAACTGCACCCTAGGCTGAGTTGGAGAAGGAGGGAGGTGGTCTCTGGGAAGATAGGCTGTCGTTTTAAGCCACATTAGATGACCACCATCATAATATAGCGACTTATACTAGGGCCAGAACTTATCACAAGCTGCGGCGTGTTTTCCTTATGCAGTAGTGAAAACAAAACAAGTACAGGATGTAGATCTTCGTCATAGACTATTAAGTAAAAACTGTAAGCCCCTAAAAGTTCCTCTATAATATACTGTTTCTTTTATAATGTTAAAAACAAGTAAAAATTTCAAATGTGCATTTGTAAGAATATAAATGTAAAGAAACATTTTCAGAAGGATGGGAAAGGGCTTCTGGGAACAGGGTTGAGAATGCCTACAGCCAGGAGACAGGGCTGAGACAAAGGGCCTCTGTGTGTGCAGGTTATTGTCCAGGACCCAGGCTTTTGCCGTCTGGTTTGGAGATAGGGGAGGGAGAATGGATTAGAAAGCATTCACTACACTGTTGAAAATAACTCAGTAAAAACATACAAAAAATAGGCCTTAGCTGAAGCAATGATAAAAACAGTGATATTAAGTCCAAAAAATGTTTTTTAGATATTAAGTTTTTAATTCCCACAGGAGTATAATAATCAACCAAATTTCAGAATTCCACTGCCCTTAAGTGAGCAGAGCATTCCATCCCATTACATAGAAAGCCCTCTGCACCTGTTTCAAAGCTCTACAGTGGCCTGCGAGACAGAGAGGCATCACTTACACATGGGCGAGCCCCCTCTTACAGGAGGTGAAACCCTTGCTCGAAGCCACAACACCAACACGGACGAAGGAGGGACTCCAAGCCAGGCCCTCATAGCAAACGCAGACTGTGGAAGACCCACAGATGAGCCACCTCACAGGCTGCACCTCACCTCCACAAGTGACACAGGGGTCCCCACAGTCTGGGCAGGGTGTGTATGCACAGCTGTCTCACTCATCCTCCTCATGACCGAGGGAAAACAGCCACCCCAAAGCACCGCAGCCTGGCCCCGCCCTTACTGACCTTCTGCAGCAGGGGTGACTTCAAGCAGCAGAGGGGCTGCTGTGGTTGAAGCTGTAGTGGCCAAAGGCCCCCATCCTCTGGACAGCTGAGTCACACCAGGAGCACCGGACACAAGAGAAGCGGCCTCCTCAGCTTTCTCACCCTCCTCATGGCCTCCAGGAGCCTCCAGGGTGGCGGCCTGCTCTGGGGTCTCGAAGGGCAAAGAGGTCTCTGGGTCTTGAGCAGCCGTTGTCATTTCTGGAGTAATGGTGTCTTTAAAGAGGAAAATATTTAAAATAGACCCAATCCTTAAAATCACCACGCAATCAATAAATCAAAACAAAATAAGCTGGTAGCTATTTCAGGCATGGGGAAAACAGACAAAACGCCAAAATAATAGGCCAAAGAATAAATGTTGTCACTGGTACTGCATTTAGGACTTATAGGTTCATCTCAGACAGAAGTAAAGAAATTAATGTCATACACTTTTTTTGTTTTCTTTGGTACTAGGGATTGAATTCAGGACCTTGCGCTTGCCAGGCAAGCACTTATTCTACTGAGCCATCTCCCCGGCCCCTAAAGAAATTAATGTTAAAAAAACTAGACTAAAATGCAAAGCAAAGCAGGAAAATCAATAGCTGAATACTTAACATAATCAGTTTGTTAAGAAATAAGAACATCTCTCATCCTTGTTTCCTGACTAGCAAATGGGAAAATAGCAGCATCCATCGTACAGAATCGTTCCAAAGCTTAATTATACAAAAATAAGTTACAAAAAAAAAAAAATCCTCAAGAGGCATTTGTTTATATTAATCTTCATATTTGCATTTCACAAAAGGAAAAGCTGCTATTTTTTTTAAATTTTATTTATGTGTGTGTGTGTGTGGCCAGCTCAGCCCACCAGGGGGCGGGGCGGGCTGGCATGTGGTGCTGGGGGATCGAACCGCGGTCCCTGTGCTTTGCTAAGCTTGTTCTAAGTAGGTGCTTTAGACCACTGAGCCATCTCGCCAGCCCAAAGCTGCTATTTTAAAGGAAAGTCACAAACACAGTAACGAATGCTCTGTGAGTCTCTACCACACGTCCCCCACGCCCAGAGCCAAGTGCCCGCTGAGCGCTGAGTTCAGCCCCCGCCCCACGTGCTAATGCAAGGCGGGCAGCAGGGTGGTCTCATGGAAGCTGAATAGCCCCTTGGTCAAGAAAGCAATCTGGGGCGGGGAGACAGCTCAGGAGCCTAAGTGTAGAGAGACCACTACAGAAAGTGAGACCCAAAGGGAACTGAAACGATGACAGAACACACCAGCAGAGTCTGCCTTCCCACAACAACACGATGTTCTCGATGCAATGCTAACACTGAGACTCTATACGCCAAGGACCCAAAATCGCAGCCTTCTTAGGACGTGGTCTATGCTGGAAATGTCGCGTACTTAGAAACTACAACAAAGTGACAGATCTATTGTCTCTCTTTCTTCAAATACCAGTCTGGATATGCAGCACACTAGTGTTGTGTGTTACCAGGAGCCAAAAGAAACGACCAGAAGCCTGGATTAATACAACCTCAGAGGATTCACTGAGCTTAGTCCCCACTCCAAGTGACCCACACATTTATTGAGGACTACAAAGAGGCTAAGGAAACTGCATAGCTAATTTGCTGCAAGCTAACTGCTATCTGTATTGCCTTCTGGCATTCACCAAGCTCTGAGTTCACAACGACACCAGCTGGTCACATCCCAGGTGAAGGATAAAAGAACACACAGGACGCCTCCAGGAAACGCCCATTATCTGCGGCCTTGTATCCCAGCTTCCCTGATTTACAAGAGACAACAGGTCTCCTTGGGCTCTGTTTTCTTGCTCTTTTCTCCAGGACATCAGGTTTCCGTCTCACATCACTACAGAATAGCAAGTTCAATAAGTCAGACAATGAAAACTAATAGTCTGGAATATCTGGGAAAAGCTTCCTCCAAGTTTTCATCAATGACATCATGGTACATAATTTTAAAGTTATTTTCCTCGAAGGCAATTTATTGGTTTGAGAACAGTGCATTTGTTTCAGTAAAAGCAGTTCCTGTTCTTGGAATCCAATCAGCTTACAGGTTTTTTTTTTCTTTTGAATTAAGGGCTTCTTACATTTGGTGGATTAATACACCTGGTTAGTTATAGTGAACCAAGGTACAATGTTTTACCTAAACTTCCAGTTTGTTCTTTCTATCATTATAAATAGATCCTTTCTTTTTCTTTCTCCAGGAAGCCTGTAAATGTCCTGAGAACCAGGATCGGTGCCCTTTGTATATTCAGCGTCAGGGGCAATGCTGTCTACCACAAGAAGACTACAGTGTTACCATTTTAAGAAGTAAGTGTTCTTCACATTTTCCTCACTTTTAAAAGCACTTTTGAACACTTTTGAGAACAAATATGTAAACTGTCATCTACAGTCTCTATTCATATAGACAGAGAGAAATGTCAAAATGTTTTACAAGACAGCAAGAAATGTCAAAAAATGCATAGCACCTGAAACAAGCGACAACTTTGGAAAAAGAGAATTAGAAATATAAATGGTAATTTTTAAAATAACAGTCAAACCTTCCCAACATCCATCATCACTCTTCCTACTTCCTACAGAGAAAGAACACAATACTTGTGATAGATTATCTCACAAACTTTCATTGAACTAATGCGCTAACTGAATCAGAGGACTGACTATAATCTCAGGATACTCATCTGTTAACAGACAGAAGACCAAGAAATCATTGCATATTCTCAAAAAAAATGACACCCTCAGTGGTCCTTGGACTCTAGCATGATATATATTTTACTTATTTCCTTCAAAAAATACTTACAGAGCCAGGCGTGGTGATGCACACCTGTAATCTCAGCACTCAGGAGACTGAGGCAGGAAGATCGCTATGAGTTCAAGGCCAGCCTGGATTGCACGGTGGTTTCAAGGTCAGCGTGCACTACATAATGAGACCCTGTCTCCAAAAACAGGCAAAAACTATTTGTAATCATCAGGAAATGGGTAGAAGATTTTGTTTGGTTGGGTTTCTTTTTGAGGAGGGTCAGTCTTGGGGGGTTGGCTATTCGATGACTCCTGTTGTCATCAACTGCAATCCCCCAGGTTCTTTTGAACTCCATGGGAGCGGTCCCCAGCCTCTGCAGCACCAGAGACCACTTTTATGGAAGGCGATTTTTTGCACAGGCGATGGAGTCGGGGATGTTCAGGACCACTCAAGTACACTGCATTTATTGTGCACCTTATTTCTATTATTAGCACCTTAGAGTCTCACAAGAAACACACAACCCAAATGCCACAAGCGCAGCTCACAGAGGGGCTCCTGCTCCTGTGAGATTCTGACACTGCCTCCCACTGGCAGGATGCCACAGGGTGCACATTCGTGAGATACACAAATCTGTGACGCTCCATCCCTTCAGCAGCCGCTCACCTCCTGCTCTTTCACCTTGTTCAGGACCTGGCTAAATGAACCAAGAAAATTCAAATGACAGGAATGACTAGGGGCTGGGGAGAGAGGTCGGCGGTCTAAGCGCCGCCTGCCTGGCAAGCTCAAGGATCCAAGTTCGATCCCCAGTACTGCTTGCCATGCAGGCCCCAGAACCCCAGATGCGCCATGCCAGCCCCGAAACCAGACATGGTGGCACACACCTGTAACCTTAGTGCCGGGGAGGCTGAGACAGGACAATCACTACAAGTTCAAGCTGCATAGCGAGACTCTGTACCAAATACATAAATAAATTTTAAAAAGGAATGAGTGGATTGTTCATCTCTCTACCAAGAACACTGAGAGAGAGATTAACTTGCACAAAGTAGGTAATCAACTTGGACAACCCCAGTCTGAGTAGTTCTCTATCTTGAGTTAATCATCTATTGAACTTGCATTTACTGAACATCTCATATGTGCCAGGTGTCACCCTAACAAAAAGTCACCTGTTGAATGACTATAGTTAAGTGAGATGATTAGCTTATATTTACAGAAGCTAACATAAGTCTGGAATCTAAGAATCATAAATTCAATCATGCAGGGAATAATCCAGGACTATATGTTTTAATCCTCCAGAAATATCTTCTAAGTGCTATGGATAACTAAACAACTTCTTATTCAATCACATCTAATATCTTCATGTCATACTGCCTCTACTTTCTTTTTTTTTTTGGTGGAACCGGGGATTGAACTCAGGCCCTGAACTTGCCAGGCAAGCACTTATTCTACTGAGCCATCTCCCCAGCCCCCACTTTCTTTTTTTTTTTTTTTTTGCGGAACCGGGGATTGAACTCAGGCCCTTGCGCTTGCCAGGGAAGTGCTTATTCCACTGAGCCATCTCCCCGGCCGGCCCAGCCCCCACTTTCTTAATGTCACTGAAAAACCAACTCACAAAACATTTTCAAAAAGCCCGTATGAAAACTTATAGTATACCTGGTCTTTCTGTCCTTAGAAATTAATTAGATGTGCAAAATTCAATCTTTCTTTTCTCATTTACCAAGTGATTTTTTATTATTTTAATTGAATCCCAATGACACTTCATAAAACATTACAAATTTGATATCTCCATTAATTGGGCTACTTGGAAATAATATATTGTAACTGTTTCAAAATTTTCGAATCAGTTTACACTAAGATTTTCCTTCTTGATGAAGCAATTATTTGGCCATCTACTCATAATAAAAGAAAAAATATTATTCAGTATGATACATACAAGGCATGTTAGCTTATAGCCACAGGTGAAAAGCCAAGAAAAAGTAAAAACTACAAAATCAAGCCAGGAAAAAAAAAAAAAAAAAAAATCAAGCCAGCCAGTGATTTATCTTTCTGTCCTCTTATGTCTCAATGATTTATTTTTGAGTAAATAAAGTCAGAGAACTAACGTGGTTAATACTATTTGATAAATATTTGCCTGAAGCTTTTTGGTGAGAAGTACTAGAGATGTATCTTTTATAATATATAAACATACAACCTGTACTGTTTACGATACTATTTAAGCAGACAGCTATGCTTTCCTATTTTCCTGTGGAGTTATGCTTTCCTATTTTCCTGTGGAGTTAGGCATTTTAGTGGTTTCTCAGCCTCCATGTATTGATACATTGTATCAAATGTCTTCGCTCCTGTGGGATGCCAGGACGTTCACCAGCATCCCTGACCCTCTGCCCACTGACGCCAATAGCCACCCTCAGTTGTGACAACTAAAGTATCTCCAAACACTGGTAAATGTCTGATGGGGGAGGAAGGGGAGAGGAGAGGACTGTCCCTAGCTGAAGCCCCCCAGCCTACATGCAGGGGTTCCATGTGGGTATAAGTTTTATATAAAATACACAATTTACCTGAACGCTTGCCTTCCATTAATACTTTAACAACCTATTTCTAATTTGCCTTTTAAAAATAAAACCAAATCAAAATTCCAAATTAAACAAAGCTTGTCTTTCCTCCTGTCTTTTTCCATTTTCCTTTACCTTTCAGTGCATGTCCCAGAGGCCCATACGCCTCCGACAGGACCTCTGACACAGACTCGGTTGTCTCTGTGAGGAACTCGGCGCCTTCTTCCTTGGTGGAATCCAAGATGCCTTCGGGACCCTGAAACAGGCTCACATCAGAAAACGCCAGATCTCCCAGGCTCGTGGGAGCAGAGGACCTGAGGCGCGCGGAGGCAGCTCTCTCGTCCCCCTGTGAAGTCAGCAGGGATGGGACTGTGAGTGCTTCTCCTTCTGGAAGCCCCAGAGCCACCTCCGCCACTTCTGTTACCTCTAGGCTGTCTGCTTTTGGGGTCCTTATCTGGCTTCGGCTCTCCAATTTGGTGTCATCCCATTCTTCACTTAGGACAGAGGTGGCTGGGACAGCCAAGCCAGTGCTCACTGTGATTTCTGGGGCTCCCAGCAAGCTGTCAGCTTCCGGCTCCACACTCAGGGTATACATGGCAGTTGCCACCAACAAGTGCTCGGAGGCAGTGGTCTGGGTCATCTCAGCTGTCATCTGTGAGGGTTTCTCCCCATTAGGCGAGAGGCTTCCGGGTACAGTGTCTGCTTCAGATTTGGCATCAGTAAAAGAAGTTGTTCTCTGGTCTGTGGCTCCTTCAAGTTTCTCTGTCCTTGGACTGGTGGTTCCCATTTCTTTACTGTCCATATAGGATGAAGGTGTACGTCTCAGATTGACACCCTCCTGACTGCCAGTTGCAAACAACTGATCATCCAAATAGGTCAGGAAACTCTGTGTTGTTTCCATGGGCCTTTCTACAAGGGGCTGACTGTGGCTGCTGCTCAAGGGTCCCTCCTGCACACTGGGATTTGGAGAAGCAGCTGCAAGGAGGGCGACAGCTTGGGTGGCCTTGGGGAGCTCACTCTCAGCAGACAGACCTTCAGGCTGGCTGGAACCAAACACATCCTCACCTGCCAGAACCTCCTGCTCCGTAGCAGTATAAAGACCAGCACTGCTTGACTGCAGGAGCCCAGCTCCTGTAGGCTGGATCTCTTTGTCACTCAAGAGGATGTTATTTAATGACACTGCTGATGGTTCTAGGGAGGCTCTTACTGCATCTTCAGAGGACACCAGCTGGCGTGTCTGCTTCGGAGTCATGGAACTATTTTCCAGGTCATCCACACTGATCCTCTCAGACCGCTCTTGTTCTCTTTTGGGGAAAGCCAAACATTGTGTGGCAAAGTTAAGAAACAGAAGGCCACCGAAAGCCAGACAAAAGTGCAAGACAACCGATCTGCTCATAGTGGAAGATAAATGTGCACGGAAATGGGCAGAGTTCACAATTCCAGCAACTGAGTCCTGCAGAAAAATAAAGCACATCAAACGGTCATAGACACATAGTTTACAAGGTCCTTTAAATGGAACTGCAAGGAAAACAGTCCCCTTGACTTCACAAACAGAGAAGGCAGGTAGGAAAGGGCTGTTCTATTTCTTTGCACCCTGGAGACACAGATAACCCAGTTCACTTTTTCCCTGCTGAATTCTGCAGCCAATTTAACTCGCGCTCCCTAGGAAAAGGTACACATAGTTCAAGTATTAGGTCGCTGTTTCTCAAACACCTACTTGAAATAAATTACCCTTGAAGTCACATTTGCAACATCTGCTCCAAACTCAATTCATCCTCTGCTGATCCTCAATGAGAATCCCAAATTCCTCTCTCATTCCCCTGTTAATCATGTAGGCAAGTAACTTGCAGAAAATACAGCAACATGTCCACAACATAGAAAATAAATGTTGCATACTCATTCAAAGAACTTTTTAGGTATTGCCATGGTCTGAAAGTTTGTGTCCCCCAAATCCATATGTCGAAATCTAATCATCAATGTATTCACATTAGGACACAGGGTCTTTGGGAATTGACTAGGACCATGAAGTCAGAATCCTGATCAACAGAATTAGTGTCCCTTAAAAGAGTGGCCAAAGAGCACCCCACCTCAGAAATTTCTCCCTTTTCAGTCTGCAGCACCACACCCACAAAAAAATCTCAGCGATGCTGCAAGTTCTCCAGAAAATTAAAAGTAGGACTTAAAATTCTCAAACAAAAATCTTGCCTGCACAAAAGGCACACTTCTCCTTTCCTTCGTGTCTAGTCATGAAACACTCTGATTCAACACAGGGTTCAAAGCAGAGGTAGAATGGGGGTTTGAAACACGCAGTAAATTAAACTCTGGCATTTTTAAAGGAGAAAATATGGGGGAAATAATTAAGAAAGAAACATAGTATGCACTGGCGCACGTCCTCATCGTGAACATTGCTGTCCTCTGGATGAGCCCAAAAGCACACCCAAGGCCATGCAGCCAGGACAGGTGACCACACAGCATCACGCAAACCTATGAGAGCTATATGCTAAGAGTCAGTCAGTGAGAAAATGAGCTAGAAAACTGTGTATTGGAAGAGGCCTAGAAGCCATAGACTCTCGGGATCATGTTGGATCTGTTCAGATAGCTGTTCCTGAACAGATATTCAACTACACATAACTAACATCCCAGAAAATGAAAATGTGTCACCTAAAAGCTTGGCCTACCGGATCACGTGCTTTGGACTGAAATCATGGAAGACACAAGCCGTCATTAATGGAGACAGAATTCAAAGGGACACAGACTGCCGTCAGAAAGATGATTTCTGCATTTTAGTTTTCTTGGTATTAAAACTTGTTATGTGATACCAAGCAATTGGCTTTAGTTTTTCCTTTGACAAAATGACCTCTGAAATCCCTGCCTCCATAACTCTATGTTTATACCTCACCTATATGACAGAAAACAAAAATATTTCTCTAGAACCATAATTTTGTCATCAACTAGGCAAGATACCCGTAAGACTGAGCAAATGTTCCGGTCCTGTGGGCTGGCAGAAGAATTGTATGAACAAATGAGATTGAACAGAAAAGAGAACAAAAAATAAAGACTTAATACAGACCCAACTGCCTTTCCGAAAAAGAATTTCCCCTCAAGGTCTTATTTTCATCCACACCTTGAATTTTAGAACTTCTGTGTGAGATACTCAAGTTTTGCTCTAAAGGACCTTCCTCCTTTGAGTCTGCATCTGCCACCTGTTTTCTAAATCCAATTACAGCAGAAAAAGTGGGGTAAACCACAAGTCTTTTCTAGTCTGTGTATTGAGGCCATATGCTCCTTCTTTTTTTATTTTTATTTTTTTAATGTATTTAGTACAGGGTCTCACTACACAGATCAGACTCATAGTGATCCTCCTGTTTTCAGCCTCCCAAGTGCTGGGATTACAGGCGTGCGCCACCACGCCCCATCTCATTCGCTATCTCAGTGCACCAGTCCCACAGGCACTTTAGTCTGCTAAGCTTTAGTCCTGGCCAGCCCCATCATATGCTCCTTCTCCCCATTATTCAAAACACGCCTGAGACTGGGCGCGGTGCCTGCATGCCCATAATCCCAGCACTTGGGAGGCTGGAAACAGGAGGATCACTATGAGTCCGATCTATGCAGTGAGACCCTGTACACCCTGTAGACTCTGTCCTAAAATATAAAAAAAACCACACCTGAACTTTGATAGGAGAAAGGACAGTCCCATAATGGGAGTTATAATACATTAGAAATTTAAGGAAAGAATGACCATTGTCAATTCAATGTCAATATTCCTAACCTTAAATTATCACCTACAACTATTTTTTGAAGATGGGTGTCTTCTCTTGTCCTCAACACCTACGAGGCCACATGCCACGCTTAGAAGAAACGCTTAGCAAGCACTCATTGAACAAACAGATGAATGTCTACAGCCTGCTTTGCTGGTAGAGGTGGAAGGCAGATTTCATTGCTTATTAAAACTCTGGGTCTTCTATGAAATTAACTCTGTCTGAAGAATATTTAATAAAAATACTAAAAGAAAACTTCTACTTTTTCCCATTAGCTACTGTCTTCTTTTCACTTGATCTGTCAGTACAAATTAATTCAGACAAATAAATTAACTCAATGTTTAACTGATAGTAGATATTAGCTCCAAACAGTTTTCAAAATCCCTTTCAGGGCCAGGGATATAGCTCAGCAGCCTAAGCATCTGCCCGGCAAGTCAGCAGCACTTCGGCTATGGTTCGCTATCAAGGTGCCCTGCCAGCCTGGCAGTCCTCCGAGCAATTTACGTTTCCGCCAACAGCGGGGAGATAAGCTGTCCAGCCAAACATTATCTTTGACAATCTTAAATAGACACAGCCTAGAATCAGTGTCTTTGTCAAGCCCAGAAATATTTAAGTTTCAAAGACACATGAAAGACAACATGAAAAAATAAAGTCAGACTAAATAATCCAATTTTCTAAGAACTTGGTCAATACTTTTCCAATTAAAATTAATACTGCCAATAAAATAAAATCAATACTGCCTTTTCAAGGTGCTTCCAAAGTAAAGACACAAAGGGAAATAGCCTGTCGCCATATTCTTATAATGACAAAGCTATCTCCCAGGTAAACCGAGTGCCATGCACAATGAAGAGAGAACATAAGCTTTGCCCAACCGTGGAAATGAGTGAAAATCTGCCTCATATTTTCCTTTCTCCTCATACACAATACTACTGTAAATAGCCGGTGTGGGTGGGGAAAGAAAGACAGCTAATCTCAGATTTTCACCGTCTCCTGAAAGACTGGAGGTGAGCCTTTTCTGGTCTATGTACTGAGGCCATCTGCTCCTTCTCCCCATCATTCACACTATTCTTGTACCTTAAAAGGAGGGAAAAAAACAGCTTTATAAAGGGCAGAAGCAGACACATCTGCAACCCAGAGAGGCCATCAGGTTCCAGGTCTTTCTTCATTTTACCAGGGATCGAACTTGAGACCTCACACATGCCAGGCAGGTGCTTACGCCGCTGAGCTGTCTCCGCAGCCCTCCGTCTTCATCTTTTAAAGTCCACAATCTACTTGGCTACCCGCTAAACACAACCATCCTCATCTAAACTGAGGTGTCACCTTGAACTCTTCTTTTTGTTTTTATGAGTTTTAGGACAGGGTATACAGAGTCTCACTACATAGATTGGACTCGTAGTGATTCTCCTGTTTTCAGCCTCCCAAGCACTGGGACTACAGGTGCATGCCACAACACCCAGTCTCAATCACCATCTCCGCATTCCACGGGGCAGAGTCAGCACTGCACACTGGGGACACTGCAAACTCTTCTCTTTTACCCTCTTGATTCACAACTTGTATAAACCCTTCCCTTATACTCTCTCCTGGAATTGTCCCTTCAAGCCTCCTCACTGGATTGGCATTATTTAATTGCCTCTAAGTTGGTCATCCTTGTATATTCTCTCCTCTCTAATCCACCTAATACAATCCAGATGGTTTATTCTCAAGAATAACAATGACAATAATCAATCAAAAACAGCTACCACTTGGGAGGTAATCTGCGCCACATGTTGTGGCCACCTTGTGGAATTTATCTTTTTTAAATCTTTACAACAACCTAATGTGGCAGATACTATTATTGTCCCCAGGCTTACAAAGGATAATTAACTTGCCTAAGTGATAGCATCTGGTTTTGATCCTGTGTATCTTGTCAGACTTCAAGGTCCCTACCTACTATAGTTTGAAGCAAAAAATGTGTCCCCAGAAGGCTCCTGTGATCAAAGGTGCGGCTTCTGGAAAGGTGAGGAGACTGTGTGAGGGCTGTCTTCACAATGGATTAGCCCACTGATAAGTTCATAGCAAGGGCCGGCCAAATAAATAGCTCAGTGGATTAAAGCTCCTGCAAGCAGGTGCAGGGGCCGGGGTTGGATCCCAGGGCCTGCCTGTCATGCCTGCCCCACCCCCAGGGGCGCGCTGAGCTGGTGATTGAGACTGGGCGTGGTGGTGCATGCCTGTAATCCCAGCTCTTGAGAGGCTGTAAACAGGCGGATCACTACAAGTCTGGCCTAGTAGTGAGACCCTGAACACCCTATAGGCCCTTCCCTAAAATACAAAAAATAAAAAAATAAAAAAGATAAGTTCATAGCAGAATGAACTACATGGGAGAAGGCAGTCAGGGAAGCAGGTCAGTGTGGCACGCCTCTGAAGGCCACGTCTTGTCCCTCGAGCCTCCCCTTCTCTCTGGCTCCTTCCTGCTCTCTCTGCTTTCCGGCTACCACAAAGTAAGCAGGTCTGCTCTGCTGCAACCTTCCACCAGGACGCCTCTGCCTGGCAGCAGCCAGTGACCATGGACTAAAATCTCCAGAACCGTGAGCCAAAATAAACCTTTTTCTCCTTTAATGTATTTAAGTCACAGAAGTGAACACACTGCCTTTGCCACCACAGCCCTCTGCCTTCCCAAGATGTGTCATCTCGTATCACCCCACATGTAAAGCTC